GCAGACGTTGCCTCTGAGTGTGTGTGTGTGAGAGAGAGAGAGCTGCAGCTACCAGCAGGTATGGGATTACTGCAGAGATGAACACATGGCACCTGACTCTGTGTGTGTGTGTGTGTGTGTGTCTGAGGTGAGTCAGGACAGGAAGTCAGCGGTGGACTACATCGTCCAGCTGCCAACAGCAGCTCGTCTGTCCTTTAACACAGCGGGGGTCAGAGGTCAACAGAGGAGCGGGGGAGGGACGAGGTTTATTAACGAGGTTTTCCATGAGAGAGAAAAATGAAAGGATGAAATGAAGGACAATAAGTGACAGTGTGTTCACGACCTGCAGGCTGACAGCCAATCAGATTTCAGAGTTTCATGATTCAGTCTCATCATTCGTGGATTAAACAAACATCAGAGGAGCTGCTACGTGGCTGTTCCCTTTGGACAGAGCCAGGCTAGCTGTTTCCCCCTGCTTCCAGTCTTTATGCTAAGCTAAGCTAAGCTAAACTGAGAAAACAAGTTTATTAAACTAGAGATGTTGAGTTGAGTGGAAATGTTCAAATGCAGTGTGTGTGTGTGTGTGTGTGTGTGTGTGTGTGTGTGTGTGTGTGTGTGTGCGCGCGGGCGTGCGCCAAAACTACTAACAAAGCAGGACTCTCCAGTTTGTTGTCTGCAGAGAATAAAAATCATCTGAGAGCAGGAGAGAAAACATGGCTGCAAGCGCGCAAACACACACACGCACACACACACGCATACTCACACTCACACACACACACTCACACACACATGCATACTCACACTCACACACGCACACGCACACACGCACACACACACACACACACACACTCACACACACTTAAATCACACTTTTATATGGCGTCACTCGCTGCAAGCGATCTCACATTTCACCAGTGTGTGTGTGACAAATACAAGTTGAACAGGTTCCAGCATGTAGGGTGGGAAAGAGGATGACAGCACACACACACACACACACACACACACACACACACACACACACACACACACACACACACACACACACACAGGCAGCAGCTTGTCTCTGTTCTGAGGGTTTTAATGTCCAGCTGTCCGACTCTTAGTGACCAGGATTTGCTTCATGTCACTTTTTAATTAGGAATCAATCAATGCACCAGCTGATCCAGCTCAGAGTAAAGTGACTGTGTGTTTCAGAGTCACTGTGCACAGCAACAATCTGCTGCTGACTCAGCACGCTGACAGGAAGTAGACCTGACCAATCAGCTGACCCCGTGCTGCTGAGTCTGTATTTCCTGAGGTCAGAGGTTACCACAGCAGCAAGAGAATAAAAGACACCAGGAAGTAAAACAAACAGAGGGAAAGGCTCATTACCTGATTGGGCAGTCGACCGTCCAGGTCCCGCCTCAGCCTGCCCCCCACGGCTCGAGGGACCGTCAGCTCATAGGAGGAGAGGTGTTCAGTCTGCTGAGAGTCTGCGGAGGGAAACAGCGGGTCAGTGTCTGAGCTGCTGTCAGCTTCATTTTAAATCATCAGTCTATTCTAGTCTTCACTGGAGAGGGGCGTGTCCTCAGTTTGAGCTGGCCGATTAATCTAATTTCATTTTTGATTACAATTTTGACTTCTACCGATTATGAAAACAAGTGAATCGAGATAAAACGATTACTGTGCCGCATTCTGTTTCACAACAAATTTCAGAGCTCAGTCCACAGAGAAATGCACACAGCCTGTATTCAGAAACTGAGCCTTAAAACCAGCCGTCAGGACTTCTGGAACTTTGTGATGTCACAACAAAGCAGTCACCAAGCCCCGCCCACCTGGACCCACCATCCAAACCTTGCAGGATTTGGTTTCTCTGAGTGTTTTTACCTGAAATCTGCTTTATTTTTATTGGATCAGTCAGAAAACAGTCAGCCAATCAGAAGAGAGGCTCAGAGCTTCCTATCCTCTGATTGGCTCACAGACCTGTTGTTACTAGAGCTGCAGAGAGAAGCCTGAGAGAGGAGATGTAAAACTACACTGAGATGGTTTTATATCTTCTTATGGATCAACACTTCAAATAAAACACAGAAAAAGAAGAAATGTGGAGCTTTAAAACCTCAACTAGAATCACCTGATGTCACAGTGAAGTTGACCTTTGACCTGTTTGTATTATAAAATGTCATCACTTTTTTTTTTTAATCCTTAAAGACATTTGTGTTAAATTGTGTCATAAGTTGTGAGTGAATTCTTGAGTTATGGCCAAAAATGTGTTGAAGGTCAAAGTCACCTGGACCGCGACCTCTGACCTCTGACCTCTGACTCCCAAATTCTATTTAGTTGATTGTTGAGTCCAGATAAAAGTTTGTGCCAAATTTAAAAATCTTCCCTGGAAGTTTTTCCTGAGATATCGTGTCCACAGGAAACAAGACGCCTCTGACCACAGCTCAGTTCAGCAAATCCACGTTACACTCTTTAAACCCTGGACTCTGAACCCTGAGCTCAGCTGCCGCGACAGACGGCCGTCTCTGGATCCCCGTGACACTGAGGGAGCCTTCACCACAGGAGGATGAAGAATGAAGTTCTGCAGACTCTGTTTCCTCTGGTTTCTCTCAGTGGATTTTCTGGGTGTTCACTCATGACGGACTTCAGAGATAATGATCTCCTCAGGAAGCGAAACTCACACTGAATCTAAAAATATGTGTTTCATGGCTGTTTCGAAGGCACCCTTCCTCATTTCACGTCGTATTCCGATTGGTCGGTTTGGGTCGGAGCAGAGTCTCGCTGCGAGTCGTTTAGATTCAGCGTGTAGAGCAGCCTTTTAACATCTTTGACTCTGTGACAATCAGAGACCCAAACATGAGGAACAACAACAGACACGACCTCTGTGACCTCTGTGACCTCTGTGACCTCTGTGACCTCTGTCTGTCTGTTACATAAAGTCTTTGTGTTCATATTACTGCCGGCTTAGCAGCTGTTTGTTTGCCTCCTTTCATGGAATGAATGAGGCATTTATGATTGTGTGTGTGTGTGTGTGTGTGTGTGTGTGTGTGTGTGTCTCCGTCAGTTTCCAGGTCAGAAACGCTGCCTGCTCATCTCTGAGGACAAAGACTTCACATTTAAATCATATTTAAAGGGACAGTTCAACATTTTGTGCTTTATTATTGATTCTGAGATTAGCTTCAGGGTCAATTGAAATAATCCGAACAATAAAAACACAAACGTTTACTGAACAGAAAGTTCAAGTACCTGTTTTTTTTCCTTCCCATGATCTTTATGTTATCTTATTATTTTGCACTTACACATTTATTTTTTGTGAATTTTGTGATTTAGTGTAATTATTTAATCATTTGTTCACTTATTTTTTTATTTCTTTATTTAATTTGTTTCTCTTGGATAATGTTCAAATCCAAAGGACAGTCCGTCGACCTTTATATCATCTGTTTTATAACTGCAAATGTACATGAATATCATTTTATAATCCTTTCTTACTATATACATGACACTGGTACAACACACTGCATGTTTAACTGTCTTTTAACTATTTTAACATTTGAGAATAGTTGCGAGTGTCTGTGACTGACTGACTGATCACAGTTCCACCATTGGTCAGTCGAATGCCATGTGATTTAGTTGGAGTTTTCCCATTGGCCGTCGGTCTTTCAAAATGAATTGGTGCAAACTGTTTCTATTAGGAGGCGTTCACAGACTGCAGTGTTGACAGCACAGAGCATTTGATGTCACTTGACTAACTTCTTGTCCTGTTGTGTTTCACTTCAATTTTATATTTTAAAACATCTGATTCACAAACAAACTATTCTGAATTCATTTCTGATTTCTACTCCCTCTCCCCCTTGAAGGGGACGTTTTCTCTCTGGTTGGTCCGAGGACGTCGCTGACGGACTCTTCCTCTGTTGCCGACCATCACGCCGTCAAATAACCCTCCACCCACTGAATCACATCCTCTCTCAAACTCCTTCCTCCTTCTTCTTACTCAGCTCTCAGCTCTTCAGTCTGAGGCTTCACACCACTCGTCTAAACCTCAGAGCAGCAACAAGACCTGCAGCCTGAGCTCTGTCACAGACTGGGTAAACACCACGGCCCCATCTGTGAAGACACTGAAAACGCTTAAATGTATAACTGCACTAGAATCCTCTCCTCGTGGTCGTATCCCTCCTCCACTCAGACTAGTTCCAGGTCACATCCTGTTCATCCAGAGCCAGAGAAAATATTAAATATTTGTGTGAAACTTTGTCATAATTGCTGTAAAGTCTAGAGTTATGGCTGAAAAGTGTTTTCTGACCTTTGACCTTTGACCACCAAAATTTATTCAGTTCATCCTTGAGTCCAAGTGAACGTTTGTGCCAAATTTGAAGCAGTTCTGTCAAGAGATATCGTGACCATGAGAATGTGATGGACGGACAACCCAAAAACAAAATGGCCGCCGGCACGGAGGAATAAAAATGTTGAAAAAAGACCTCGGTTCAAACACTGACGACCGACTGATGCTGGATTAAAGAGCAGTCCAGAGTAAATCCAGATCAGACAAACATTCACCAGTCTGGACCCGTGTCAGGTAAAAACATGATGCTTTGTGTGTTTGTTATTGTGACGTCTGATCCTGATCCTGCTCTCTGCAGGTCTGCTGACAACCCAGTTAACCCCGCACATCAACTGGAGATTTGTCTAATCTAATTTAATCTGGCTTCATGTTGACTTTCTCTTCTTCTAACAAACCAGACAGACGTCGAACAGAAGCTTCAGGAATCTTCAAGAACATTGAGAGAAATCAGAACAAAACCTGGAAAAAACTCTAAAGAAAATCGAGACAAGTGAAGAAAGTGTAAAAAACATCCTAAAGAGGAACCTTAAAGAAAACCCCGAGATGAAACTAAAGCTAAGAAAAATCTAGATTTTTAGGAAAATGTGGGGAAAATCTAAAAATAAAATCAAGAGAAAATGTTGAACAAATTCAGAGACCACCACTGTAGTTTTGTCTTACTTCAGTGTTTGTGCTGCTGTCTGCTGTCGGCTGTTACTTTTCATTTGTTTTTGGTGAATTAACACTGAGTGGTATTTGTGTTGTAACAAGCCGAAGGTTCAAGCATATAAACAGCACTGCTGGCTGATACATTGGTGAAGGACTGGTTTAATATTAGTATCATGTAACTTTAGTTTTTTCAGTTTGTATCTGGTGAGTTAAAAAAAAAAAGTGGAAAAAAAGAAAAACGTGAAAAGAAATGAAAAAAAAAATGTTGATAAATCCTGAAGAATGAAGAGAATTTAAAGAAGGTTTAAAGAAATCCTAAAGAAAAGCCACAGAAATATTAGAAAATCTAGAGAAACTTACAAAAAAAAAGCCTGAAAAAAAAACAGAAATCTATTCAAATTCAAACAGACTGCTAAAAGAAATTCTGGAAATGTTTTAATGGAAACGTAGAGGAAAAACTTCAAGTGAAACTTTTTACGAAACCTAAACAAATCAAAATTAAATCCTGAATGTAGAAAATCTACAGAAATCTCAAAGAAAACTAAGAAACATTCAAACCTCACATGAAAAAGTACAGACACGGTCAGAGGCCCTGAAGTGAACACAGACAAACTCTCAACAGGAAGTTGAAGAATCTGTTTTCTTTTTCTCTTTATCCTCAAAACAAACAAAAGAAACGTCACAGAGCTCAGGAGCAGATCTGGATCTGGATCAGCCAAGTGGGTTAAGATGTTCTGCACCTCAGGAATCTGACCTGATCTCGCATCGGCCAATCAGAAGCCACACCTGACCTCTTTCATACGCCTGACATGCGGCCAATCAGAAACTAACTAAACCACACATGACCTCTGACCTCTCAGGTGGTTTGGAACCAGAGATCCTCTCGGGTCACAGGCAGCAGGTCTGTGATGATCTGTGTGAACAATAACCTGGAACTGTCTCTGCCTGCAGCCTGGATGAGCAGGAGGAGAAATCAAACTACACATAACAAACTCAACAATGTTTCTTATCATCAGGACTGACGCTGCGTTCAGGTGAAAGACGGCGTCAGAAATTCTCAGATGGTTGGTTGTAAAAACGGACTCAGGCCAGCTGAGTTTCCACTCAGGTGTGCTTTTTTGCACAAATTGAAAATACAAATAAAAACAGGATTGAATAGAAACAAGCTTCCACACAGCTGGTTTGGATCTGTGCGCGAGATCTGTGCACGAGACAGACAATAAGAGAAATGTAGAAAAACAGCAGAGTGAACCTTCACCAGAGAACGTCTCTGGACACAAAGCTGAATGTGAATGTGAGTCAGTTTGTTCATGTTCAGTTCAGAGGGAAAAAAACAGAGTGAGTCATCATTCAGGGAAACAGGGAGGACTGCTGCTGCTGTGTGTGTGTGTGTGTGTGTGTGTGTGTGTGTGTGTGTGTGTGTGTGTGTGTGTGTGTGTTGCTGCTGCTGGTTCCTGTAAATGTAATCACTCAGATTTATTCAGAATCTCTGTTTGAGAGTCTGTTTCTGTTTCTGTCAGCTCACAGCCAACACACACTCTCACACACAGCAAATACACAACACACACTCTCACACTCACACACACACACACACACACACACACACACACACACACACACACACACACACACACACTCTGTTACATTCTAAGTGTTAAACAGGGTTTAGTTCCTGAGCGACTCGGCTGTGAACGCTGTGGCCGATGACGCTAAGCTGCTTAAAACTCAACCTGCCTGAGTGACACACACACACACACACACACACACACACACACACACACACACACACACACACACACACACACACACACACACACACCGAGAGGAGAGCTGGTGGCTCAACAGTTCACGAAGAAACAAACCAACAAATCAATATCTGATCCTGAGTCAGTTCTGATTCCCACTCTGGTCAAACAGAAGCCTGGAGCGTACGGAGGCTCGGTCACGTCGAATGTTTCATCTTTAATGATCCACTAATAAAAGCAGGTTTACAGCAGATAACTGTCACTATCTGTGATATCACAAACCTCAAAACACAAACGTCCCTGTTCTGTTTAACTCCACCAGCAGCGTCTCGTCACATCTAATGCCTTGTTTTTACTGTGTTGTGAGGTGTCCTTGAAAGGCGGCTATAAATAAAATGTATTATTATTATTATTATTGCTATTATTATTCTGCCCATGCACTTAGCTTCCAGTTTATTAGGAACACCTGACTAATGTTATAGTGCAGCCAAACAAAACGTGGGCTGCAATAAAATTAGAAATAAATTTGACTTTTTCAAGACTGAAGAAAAACTGATTTCACATTTGAATCTATAGCACTAAACTCACCTGTGTGATTTCATCATCTCACCTGAGACCTTTCATAATAAAATAATAAGTATCATTTAGGTGTGGACGGGTGTTTCTTATATTTTCTCACAGCAGCACAAGCTTCACCCTCCACAATGATCCTACAGCTGAGGAGGGGTCAGTGTGGGGCAGGGGAGGGAATAATAATATATAACAATAATATAATGTGAATAACGTTATTGATCATTATTTGTAGGCACAGTGTAATGAAGAGAAGAGTGCTTACAAAAAATAAATCCTGATTTGGAGATGGTTTGTAAATCTTGTTTTCATTTTTATTAGAAGTTTCAATTTTTCTTTTTTTTTATTTCTATTTTCTATTTTTATTTTTTATTTTTTTTATGCTGCACATGTACCAACCACCTCCTTTTTTATTTTCATATTGCCCATGTAGAGAACAGTCTATGCTGCTTTATACACTGTTTCTGTACAGTACAACACAGCAGTACAGTGTGGTGTAGAGACACTACAGTGTAGTAGTATTACTATTTTGTATATTATAGTACTGTGCAGTGCAGTATAGTACAGTGTTGTCATATATTATCTAGTACCTAGAACAGTATGTTGTACATAATGTACATAATGCAATATTGTACAATACAAGTACTATTACAAAGTAGTAGAGTAGTAGTAGTAGTAGTAGTAGTAGTGTACAGTCTAGTGCAGTATAATGTAGTGGTGTACTGTACAGTACCCTACAAGGTAGTACAGTGTAGTACGCGATAGAGTAGTACAGTGTAGTAGAGTACATTATGTAGTACTGTGCAGTAGAGTGCAGTGTGGTTAGTACAGAGTAGTACTACAGTGTAGTGTATCACAGTACTTTATGGAGTATTGTTATGTACAGAGTAATACGGTACAATACTACAGAACACAGTACAGTGTGTAGTATTGTACTTGTTCATACACACACACACACACTTCTTCTTCACTGCTTATTTACACACAGCTCTGTCCTGAACCCCCCCCCCCCCCCCTCACCTCTGCAGAGTGAGTGTCCGCTCAGCAGCAGCAGCAGACAGCAGACCTCCAGCAGCTCCACTCTTCCTCCCATCTTCCTCTCCTTCTTCTTCTATGGAAAATAAATGTCACCGGGCGGCAGCTCTCTCACACACTGTCCTCCTCTTGTTGCTGTAGCTTGTATTCCTGTAGTTGTTGTAGTTATAGTTGTTGTTGTTGTTGTTGTTGTTGTTATAGTTGTTGTTGTTGTTGTTGTCTTCCAGCCCTCTGCCCCCGCAGAGCCTCATGCTAAACACCCAGCAGCGGTTTTCTTCCTCGGCCGAGCCATTCCCGTCTGTCCCGGCTGCTGATCCACCGTGAGCGACCCGCCGCAGCTCCGACGTTTCCCGCCGCAGTTTGACTCGTTATCTGTGTGAGTTAAAACACAAACTGTGGCTGAAACAAACTGTTTCCTCTGTTCCTGTGGAGTGTCCTCTCCCCGGGCAGCGGAGTACTCCTCTGCTCCTGAACTCGACCATCTAAACCAGCGTCCAGTCAGCGGAAACGCTCCCTGCTTCTTCTACACAACTTCAAAATAAGAGTCCAACCGCCCCAGGCACATTCTGTCAGAATGGATTTCTAGCACGAATACTGGAGCCTGTAGTAAAATTAAAGTTATAAAAACACCCAGTGAAATACAAAAAGGGACATTTTTTTCAGAATGAAAATTTACTTCTTTTCTTGCAACATGTATGAAGAGTTTATACAATATGATGCTTTGTTATAAATTGAACCACCCAACAGTAAATACAAGTAGAGCCGAAATGGTAAGTAAACTCATAAAAAGTCAATTGGCAACTTTTTTGATTACCACTACAACAATAAAATCCTGCTTTGGAATGAATGTATGAACAATAGTAATAATAATAATATATTGATATAATAAAATTGCGTAACAGTCACAGGGTCCATTTTTCTGCATTGAGTCCTGTTTTCCCCCTGATTATACTTTACCTTTATACCGTGGTAATATTTTCACTGTTTTACTTGCAAAACAGTATTTTTACAATGTGGTAATTGTACAATGAGATTCTATTGTTGCTTTAAAAACACCAGGATAAAACAACAGGAAGTAAAAACTATATTTAAAAAAAATACTGTATGTCATTAGACTACTGAATGTCTAAATTCTAAAATGTTCCAAGTTGTACACTAAAGAAAGTTAAATGTTTTGTAATTGTATATTGCTGAATATCACACTATATTACTATCAATGTTATGTATCGCACATGCCAATGGCAAATATTTGTTCAGGTCATGAAATATAATAAACAATATATTGGAAAATCATGTCTTATTTAATTCACATATTACTTATAAGCCATTAACTTTGAATATTTTGTTTGTGTAGGGTTAAAAAAAAATTGTTTTGCACAAAAACGTTACATTTTCTTGAAAACACGAACTTAAACATAACAAAGTGCATCCATTTGTGCCAAAAACTGTCAAACAATGCCGTAATAATTCGTGTTTAACACGAGGTTTGTATTTTCTTCTTCCCACATTGCTGCTATGACTGTAAAGCTTTTATTTTGAAGTCAAACTATAGGTTCTGTTTCTGTTCACGTGACCAAACTAATCTCCAGCTTGGGGGGGGGGGGCGACTTCAGATGCGCAGACACCACATATCGGACTGTGCCGTGAAGCAAACCGAGCGCCCCCTGCCTTCACGATAAGTTTATTACAATTTGATCGTAAAGGTGAAACCGTCCCGCTCAAAGTTCGACCTTCACTGAAACACCGCCGGGACGTCCGGGCGCCTCGTTCAAACACACCTTTAAAGCGTCCGGCGCTCAGCCAATGGAAGAGACTTGAGTTTGTAACGTGATCCCCGATTGTCTGTCTCAAATTTAACACCAACGAAGAAGATAGTGATGCGTTCAGGTGTCTCTGGTAAACTCAACAGTGTGGAAATATGAGTTTATTTCACTTAAATATTTTTTTTGTCAATTTCATATATTCAGAGTGAATGTTATTTCCAGGAAAACCGGATTCTGAGAAATCAAATTAATTGATTGGTTATTGATTAATTAGCAGCAACACCTAAAACAGCGCAGTTTAGAAGACATAAAAATATTTTATTTATACTCAAATTAGAGCTACAATTAACATTTCTCTCTATTATTTAAATAATCATTTAGCCAACACCGAGGTGACATCTTTAAATGTCCTGTTTTTTCTCACAATTATTATTAATATAAGACCAAAAAAATGATGAAAACAAATGATGAAAACTGTCACTTGCACTAATAAATATAATTATTTAGAAATTTCTGTCAACCGTTTGTGCACATTAAGCAACTTCCTGTGGGTCCCAACCAAAGGAAACTAACAAATACCAATGCAGATACAAACAGGTATTTTACTTGGGAAACTTGGTGTCAATATAAACAACAAGTGCAAGGTACAAAAGATTTTGAAAAAACAGAATGTCCCTGATTTACTGCATCAGTTAAAATGGTGATGGTGGGAAACATCAACGTGTGATAAGTGTTCAGAGAAACGAACACGCTGCTGGTTTGGGTTTAAACAAGGGATGTGACTCTGTTCTAACCGTCTTCGGGCAGAAGCTGTTTTCAGGTTCTCGAGGTTGGAGGTTCTTCCTTCCGCAGGACGGTTCTACCGTCTCTGACCCAGCTGCTGGAACAGCTGGATGATCATGAGCTGAATATCGGAATCTCCGGGTTTGATGTTGATCGCCTTTAGAAGGAAGCCCAGGGCGTCGTCCAGCTGCCCGTTGTTGTAGCACGCCTTCCCGCTGCTGACCAGGGAGTCGTAGCTCTTGTCCTCGGACTCGACCACGTTCGTCTCGACGGTGCACTGCTCCATTCTCTCGGTGGAGGCCAGCTCCAGCTCGCCGGTTGATTGGTTGAGGTCGCTGCTCATTTCCTCTCCTGATTTACTGATGACATCTGCTGACTCAGAGTCGTCCTCCTCCTCCTCCTCCTCCGAGTTCAGAGTCTCTCCGGCGGTCTCCTCCAGCTGAAGTTCATACTCCTCCTGTGTGTCAAAGGACAGATTTTAAAATCCCTCTACTTGTCTATAAAGCACTGAATGGTCTCGGGTCAAACACATCTCTGATCTACTCGTACGTTCAGGATCAGAATCTGGTTCATTGCCAAGAGGCTTTTCAACACAGCAGGACTTTGCTTTGGTGTTTTGGTTCGTATCAATCGACATATTATGAAGAAAGAAATATAAAGACAGAGACATCAGACACCTCACCTCCAGACTAACTCAGGTCAAAGCCCAATGTTACCATGGTAACAATCAATGACACCTGGACAGAGCAGTAGCATCAACCAATAGAAAACAGGAAAACATGGCTCATTATTTGTGGTTTGCTAACATCGTTATGGAGAGAGCAAAGAGAGGAGTTTTTAGCAACGGCAGCCATTTTGTTTTAATTGTTTCACTCTTTACTGAATTTTCAAAGTAAAACGTCCTGTAGCTGTTGAATTCTTCCAAAGACAAACATGTTCTGCTGAGTGTAAATGAAGCTCAGAGGTTGGATGCGGTTCATAGGTCGGCCATTTAAATAAAAAAAAATTTTTAATTTAGAAGTCTTAATTTACCCAGAATTCATTGTACCACAGTCTATCTGAAGTGTGACTGTTTGTTCTGTGTGACACACAGTCGACGTCTGTCTCTGTGAAACCAGCTCCTCAATAAAAACATGATGTAACTGCTTGTTTTTAAGGTCTTTATCTCTGCGGATGTCTCGTCTCTTTGAAACGTTAATTATTCAATTTGGTTTTTATCGTTTTTAAATGTCGTGTTCATGTTTAGTTTTTAATGAATTTCTAAGTCGCTGTAAAACACTTAAACATCCATCCTTCAACTCAAGAAAGACTGCTTCATTATTTATTTTTATATAGTATTTCTAATTAAATACTTTAAATCTTATTTATGTCAGATTCTGTTTCTATTCTTATTTTTCTTTTATGTTGCTGTTGGGTCACATTTGAATTTCCTCTACGGAGGATCAATAAAGGTTCATCTCATCTTGTGATTTTCTCTCCATATGTCATGTGACGAGGCTGCAACTAACGATTATTTTCATTACTGATAATCACTTATTCATTTTTGTTTTGATGTAACAGCTGTGTGTGAATGGTGCTGTATTAACAAACTTGCCTTGCCATGAGATGGATCAATGATGTCTGACTCTTCGGCCTCAGCCTCATCATCATCATCATCCTCCTCCTCCTCCTCCTCCTCCTCCTCCTCATCCACCAAGTCCTGTTTGTGGTTCTCTACGTCCTCGATGATTGACAGGAGGAGGGAGAGGCGGGAGGCCACGGAGGTGTTTCCCCCGACACTCTTTCTGGACCGGAGAGGGGTGGAGCCAGAGGGCGCTGATCGAGGAGTGGAGGCTCCGAGCACCTGGAAGGAGTTTTCAAGTTGCCTCCCATCATCATCATCATCATCATCATCATCATCATCATCATCATCATCATCATCACTATCGTAGATCACTGCTGCTCTTTTCTTCCTGGGAGCTACGACGGAGTCGTTCACAGACTCTTCCATTTGGGAGGCGTGGCCGTTGTTGAGGCTCTGTGCGTCTTTGTGTTTCCTCTCACACAGAGATCTATCGACGTCAAAACTCCCCTCCACCTGCAGCTCTGCCAACAGCTTCCTCTCCTCCGCCTCCGTCTCCACAGGATCCTGAGCGTCGTTGTCTGAGAGGGCGTCGCTGTCCTCCAGCTGTAAGTTGAAGTTGCCTTCAAAGGACTCGAGGCCGGTGCTGACTCTGGACGACGTTTCTGCTCTGAAGCTTGAGCTTGAAGCTTGTAAGACAGACAGTCTTTTGTTCTGCAGTGGCGTGACGTAAGCGTGACCCAGCTCCATCTCAGAGTCCTCGCATTTTGAGTGTGAGGTTCCGTTTTGTTGGTTCTCACCACACGCTGTGACATACGACAGGCTGCGTTCACCTGCTGGAGCGACCGCAGCCTCCGACATCGCTGATTGGTCCATTAGTTCTTGCATGGAGGCATCTGCCACATCACCTGCAGCCTCCACCATCTCCAGAGACTTCTCCATCACCTCCTGAGAGGAGGCGTCTGCTGCTTCCAGGCAGCTCCCGTCCTGCGGGACAGACCGGTGTCTCGGTGAATCCAGGTTCTGCTCTGAGACTTCAGCAGTAGGTTCTTCCGTCACGCTCTCGTCTGAAGTCAGATTTATAACTTGGTTGCTCAGATTCTGCTGGACATCCTCGCTGCCAGAACCCGAGCGGTCCAGCTCTACCACAACCAGTGAGCGGTTTAGGTCTCCGTCATGTTGAGGATATGACGGACTCGGTCTTGGATTTCTTGGTTCTTTCTCGCGGGGCCGCTCTCTGTTGTTGCTGTCCGCCGGCTGTCTGAGCCACGCCGGCTCTGTGCTGGAAGCCATGCTCTCCACCAGCTGCATCTGCAACTCCGACTCCGCCTTCATCAGCTCTTGAGCCTTGTGGACCCGCCCTTCGATGTAATGTTGCTCCTGCTGGTCCTCCAGCGCCCCGTCGTGTTGGACGTCGAGGGAGAACATGAGGTCGTGGTCGGAGATACCGAACATCTCCATGGCGTGGAGTTGGGCGATGTGCTCGTCCAGCTCAGGGTCTGTCTGCCGGTGTCTGGAGTGCAGGGCCTGAAGCTGCAGCTGTGTGGCCGAGGACTGGGTGTCCTCCAGGGTGAAGAGCTCCTTCAGCTCCTGTTTGCTGAAGTATCTGAACGGGTCCTTCTTGTCTCCGGTGTTCTGTCTGATGAGGGAGTCTTTGAAAACCTGCCGTCGGTAAATCTTCTCCTCCACCGTGCCGCAGGTGATCAGCCTGTAGATGACCACGTTCTCCGTCTGCCCGATGCGGTACGCCCTGTCCACGGCCTGGGCGTCCGTCGCCGGGTTCCAGCTGGGATCGTAGATCACGACTCTGCTCGCTGCCGTCAAGGTGATGCCGACCCCGCCGACCTGGGTGGTCAGGAGGAGGACGGTGTAGCGCTTGTCCGTCTGAAACAGAGTGATGCGCCTCTGTCTCTCGGCCATCTGCTTTATTGTGCCGTCCAGCCTCAGCACTTTGAAGCCTCTGTTGCCCAGGATGCGTTCGATGATGTCAAGCACCTTCCTGTAATGAGCGAAGACGAGCGTGCGGTGGCCTTCCTGTTGGAGCTGCTCGAGAAGCGCAAACAGAAAAACGAGTTTCCCGGACTCGGATATTAACGTGCTGTCGGGGACGTTGGCGATGCTGTGAGAGTCTGTCTCCACGTCGTCCTCCTGCTGGTGTTCAGCTGCGCTCTCCTCCAAACCCAGCTTGGCGATGGCTCCGGCTGAGAGCAGTCTCGGGTGGTCGCACAGCTTTTTCAAAATGTTTAATTCGGCGAGAGGCGACCTGGTGGTCAGGAGCAGCTCCTTGATGTGGTCCAGTGTGATGAACTGTCGATAGATGTCCTCCTGAGCGGCGCTCAGGTACGTCCACACAATCAGGTCGTTCTTCCTCGTCAGCGTGGGCATCACTGCCCCAGAGTCTTTGTGTTCTTGTGGGACTTGGCCGTCGCTGCCGTCTGCCTGCTCCTCTGTGTGAGGATGTGCGCCGTTCATTTTATTCTTCTGCACTTCTGATTTCGTCCTGCGGAGGAAGTAGGGTTTTATTATGACCATGAGGTTCTCAGACATCCGGAACCCGAGAGCCTTTTCTCCCGGAGTGGCGTCCTTCTCTCTGGCCCGGGTGATTGGATTTTCATACTCTGCTTTGAACGTTTTCGCCGTGCCGAGAAGCGTTCCTTGACAAGCGAAGTCGAAGAGCGCCCACATTTCTCTCAGGTTGTTCTGGACCGGAGTTCCTGTGAGGAGAACTCGGTTCTTCGACGGTACGGCGCAGGCACTTTTGGCCGTTTTGGTGGCCGTTGTTTTTATTTTGTGTGCCTCGTCCAGGATCATGTAGTCCCACGTGAACTCTTTGCCGTTGTATGAGGACAGCTGCTGCCAGTTGTTCATGAGCATAGTGTACGTGGTGATGATGACGCCACCCCTCCTCTGGACTTTCTCCAAGTTCCTGGTCCTCTCTCGTTTGTTGGTTCCATGAAACTCCTTCACCCTCATGCCGGGAGTCCACTTGGCAAACTCCTTGGTCCAGTTTGTGATGAGTGACGTCGGCATGACCAGCAGTGTGTGATTGATCAGCTCGTTGTCGTACATACCAGAGAGGAATGAGATGACCTGAATGGTTTTACCCAGACCCATGTCGTCCGCTAAGATCCCGCCTTTCCGACCGTCTCTGTAGAGGCTGTAGAGGAAGGCCACGCCGCTCCTCTGGTAGTCATAGAGTTTGTCATGCAAGTCTTTAAAGAGCATCAGACCGCTGTTGTTGATGTTGACAAACTCTTCATCTTCATCCTCCAAGTCGTTCTGAGCAATAAATTCTTCGATTTTCTTAATCCTCGTTTGAAGTTTCTGACTCTGGTGGAGGTCGTACGCCAGTTTGAACAACTCCAGCGCTTTGTGCATCTCCCCTTGTCTGATGGCGTCTTTACCTTCCTGAATGAATCTGAAAGGAAAGAACAAGTCATCAGTGGGTTATAAATAAGACCGTGATGTAGACTTAACTAGAGCTGCAGCTAAAGATTCGTTTCATTATTGATTAATCCCTCATTTCTCGATCAGTCTATCAATATTTGTTGTTCAATTTAGTTATAAATTCTAAGAACATAGTGAAAATACTGGTTATAATTTCATTCGGCCAAAGAAGATGTCGTCATATTGTTTGGTTTATTCGACCAACAGCTCAAAACCAATTATTTTCATACATGATGAAGAAAAGCATCAAATCCTCACAATTAAGAAACTGGAACCATCAAATGTTTGGCAAAAAAACTAAACCACAGTTTCATCATCAAAGAAGTTGCAGATGAATTTTTTAGAGAGTTTAATAAGAAAGAAAATAATCTGAAGATTAGTGGATAACAAAAATAACAGTTATCTGCAGCTCTAGTTGTAACATGTGCTTTAACCAAACTGACAAAAATGACTATTTTGGATCTTGTTTTATAATAAAATAACCAGGGGGGACATATTAAATTGCTTGTTTTTTGGTATAACTGTGTGATCTCCTGAAAAGAGTCGGAGTAGGAATTATTTAATCCTGAGTGTGAGAACAACACCACTGACTGCTGAGGTAAAGAAAACATGTCTGAGTTTTTCAGTTACCTGTGGTAGGCTTCCATCTTGTCGTCTGTATCCATGGATAAAGACCTGTCGAGAAAAAGGCACATCAACACACTGTTTGTACACACAGCCAAACATCTGACGCATGACACACAACTACACACTGATCTTATATTAGGCTGCAAAACTAAAAGGCTGAGAAGCGAAGGTCTATAAGCTCATCACGTTTTAATAATAATGTAATATCTGAATCTGGAAGGTAACCAGTAATTACAGCTGTTAGAAAAAAAGTAAAGTAAAAAGTCCAATATTTCAGTCTGAAATGTAACAACATGGAAATACTCAAGTATAAGTACCTCATAAGTGTAGTAACATTACTTCAGTAAAAGTACCTTAGTGCTGCAACAATTAGTCACTTGATTGATAGAAAATATATCAGTAACTATAATAATAATCTCGGTAGAATGATTCTCCTCTGACTAAACAGTTTTTTCTTCTTTATTTATTCATCACGAGTTTTGCTGCTCTGTAGCCACTGACTTTACTACAGTACGTTATATTATAGTATATTGCCTCTACTGTACAGTGTGTATTCAGCACATAGCTATTGGTCTAGCTATAGTCTCTATTTTTTGTTATTATTTTTTACACTTTATCAAGTCTATAATTCAGCCTTTAAGTGGATGGTTTCTTACAGTCTATCTGAATTTATTATGTTAGTCATTTTTCAATGGTTCACGGGTCTCAGATGTGAGAACTTTCTTTTCTTTTATTGATCAAATAATTAATTACTTGAAAATAAGCAGCTGATTAATCATCAATAGAAATAACTGCTAGTTACAGGCCTAATGTTCTTACCATCCCTGGAGGACAATTATAAAAACACTAAACACTAAAAACACTAAAAACACTTACGTTAAAATCAGTAGCAGATACCAGACACTGCGCAGCCCGGTGCGGTTACTGTCAGTTTAAAGTCAGACTTATCGGCCTTATACATTTTGTAGTTTTCAGCTTCAGATTTTTGGTTTCTGGTTAGAAAATATTTCCTGAAACAAATCAACACTTCCCCCGTTAGCAGCATCTTGGCTAACCTCCCTGCGGTGTTAACCAGGGGGACTTTAGCACTGATGCTAACTGTCTGCTAATCGTGACACAGGTATCAACGTTAGCTTCACTTACTTTTCCAGTTTCTCGGAAATCTCCTCAACTTCACCGCCATGGGGAGAAACGTCCATCGCGATATTTTAGCAGTTTCACCGGCACAAACTGGAACTAAATCCAGACACGAAACGTTTGTTTGATGGCAAAGAGGTCGGTGTGTTGTTTAAACCCGCGGCTTTTCCCCCGCAGCTTTTCCACCCTATCAGAGAGGACGCTGTGGTGACGCCACGATGACGTTATCCAATTGGAACTATAGATAGGCGGGACCAACAGCAAACCACAGCCAATGAGCAGCGTCGGTTCGGGCAGGAAGAAGGACAGCCCTGAGGCTGAGTTTAATTTCACTACACCTAAATCTTTCCAGGGAATTCCACCTCACATCCTGGGAACGTCCCTAACGTTCAGTCCCTTCATTTTCAAGAGGCTTCTGAGATTTCCTGGAAACAGTACATTAAAAAAGGAAGGATAAAAGAGAAAATGTGTCTATACCTATATTATGATATATGATATTTTTCTTTTAACAAGACAAGTTGGTGCTTATAGATGGAGAGGATGGATATTTTTACTAATACATTTTGGACATTTTATAGTTTTGTGGATATTTTACTAATATTTTTCAGATATTATACCAAAGTATGTGATATAATATATTCAGATATTATATATATATATATATATGGTCTCATATTTTTGTGGATATTTTTCTGAAATTTCTTCAGAAATGTTACTAATATTTGTAGATATTTTTTTAAAACTAGTATTTACTCATGAATTTTGAGCATTTGATGTGATATTATATATATATAGATATATATAGCTATATATATATATTGAGATCATATTCATATTTCTTGTGGATATTTAACCATTTTTATTTAGATTTTATATTAGAAATTTATGTCTGACATTTTACAGACTTTTTTAATTTTCAGATCATTTGATGATGATAGAAAACCACTGACCAAAACACACATCACCTACAGCTGTGTTTTTACAGATGAATACATTGTCAGTTCTGCACAACTCTGTCCTAACGACATGTTGACAGGTTCTCTACACATCATTCACACTTAATAATCAGCCCATGTTATTAAACCTGGTCAGAACAACAGAATGAGGCTGTGTGTTCACAGAGGATTTTATTGTGAAAGGCCATTGTGGTTCAGCTTTAAGGCCGTGGTTCACAGGTGCAGTGGAAAGTTTCACCTTCATGACGACAAATTCAAGCACTTTTCAAAGACTTTCAAGGTTTTGTTTTTTTGTGAAATTTTCAAAACTCAGCTGAGTTTTGTGATGAAATCCACTTTAAACTTGTAGTCCTCCTCCTCTGAGTTTCTTCTTTGGATGTAAAGTATTGATCCAAACATCTAATACAAACAGTTCATTAATTACAGAACATCAAAGGAGCTATTTGAAGGTTTTGCTATTGCTACATAGCCAACTTCAGCAGTGCTAACTTTAGCTATGTAACAATAGCAAAACTTGAAAATTGCTTCTTTAACTAAAGTATTAAAGGAACATACAGTAAAATACAAAAGAGTGTGTGTATTAAAATATAGAATAAGAAGTTTCAACTGTATGGTCTTCACACATGCACTGCAACTCTGCAGTCGGGATAATGTCCTGAGGACACTGTCTGGAGTTCATATGAGAAAACGGTTATATAGATATAAACTCTAACTACACTGTTGAGGTTTCACAGATAAATTCAGAATAATGGCGCCGTCTCCAGAGCTTTGACTTGAGCAGCAAAAACCAGAACTCTCTTCTCCACCTCGGCGCTGATCTGGGCCTGCGTCGCTCGCGGGTTCTGACGGACGAAGGCTGAGATGCTGAGGATACACTCTCTCTGAGGAAACACACACACAGAACCAGGATGAGTCGGGTAAAAGCCATTAACGTTTTTTCTTTTACAGTGACGCTCATCAGCTGTTTTTTCTGAGAAAACACAGCACCTTGTAAGCATCCACTTTGTCCTGGCCGGTGAACCGGTTCAGCAGCTCTCTGCCGACCCCAAAGCCCGTTATCGCCGCCAAAATCCTGCGGTCGTCGTCAGTGTCTGAGGACAGCCACTGCAGCAGCGCCATCTGCAGGAAGGACACAGATGTTTTTAAGAGGATCGTTACGGTGGTTTTACCTGTTTTATCTCTTTATATCTCTTTCTTCGTGACATTGAGAGTTGTAGGACTTCAAGTAGCTATAATTGCCACTGTTGGTTAATCCGATTTTTTTTTTTTGATTGATCGATCGATCATTCTTTTTGTCTATAAAATGTAAGAAAATAAACATCTGCTCTAATTCCCTCAAGACAGATCTGATGTGTCTTGTTTTGTCTGATCATATATGACATTTCAGCAGCTGTAGTCTAGAAAATATTTGGGATTTTTAAATTTAAAAAATGAGCAGAACGATTATTTGATTATTAGTGTAGTTGCAGATCAATTTTCTGACGATCGATTAATCGACTAATTGTTGCAGTTGTATGAGGTTTTGCAGATTAAACTTCACAGTAATATATAAAATAGTTAAACCATTTAAAAAGGCTGGTCACACATTAGTGCATCCGTATGTAATATAATATGCACGTGTGCTTTTCCCTGTATAATGAGGACTTTTACTTTGATACTCGAAGTTCATTTTGTTAATAAATAAATAAATAAGCCGCTGGTCTAAAACTTGTATTAGTCAGTGTGATATTAATATTGCTCCTTTTCTTTAAGTAACACACCTGCGCTCTCAGATCAGTTCACTGTGTTTTATTTGATGTTCTTACCTGTTGAAGTAACTGAGCGTTCGTCATTTCTCCTCCCGACATGACCGAAAAACACACGAATAAACGACGACGACACGAAACAACAACGGTCACGACTAAAACTAAACGTTATGACGTCACCTGGAGCCGTTAACTGAAGCTGAAGTCTCTATTTCCACAGAAATATACCGAAAATATAAAACTGTAACGATTCTATCGACTGGAGGATGTAAGATGCCTCACTTCCTGTTTACATATCTTCTTCTTCGCTGGTGTTTGCTGTGAGACACGGATCTGCTGCCGCCCCCAGCGGTCAGCACTAAAACATCCTTTTTTCATTCAATCTTTATTGATACAAACAATGCAAACATAGAGTCAATATAATTGTGAATAGAGTCAGGAGTAAAAATTGCAAAAAAGAAATAATAGAAAAAATACATAAAAAGAAATAAAAAGAAAATAAGAGGAAAATTGACTATGAGAAAAAATCATATCATACATTATCAAATTATTGTTATATATATCATAATTACCATTTTAGTAATTATAAGATCAAGAATTTTGATAAATATTTTGAATTCACCTAAAAATGAAGTAAAATTGGGGGTGAGTGACTTTTGTTATTCTGCATTTATGTATGTGGAATTTACCATAAAGGATCAAATAATTTACAATGGATTCAATGTCACATTGTTCAAAATATTTAATTGTATTTCCACGTTCAATATCAATTTTTAGTTTACGTTTACAGAATATATAGTTTGTCAATTGAACCCAAAAAGTAACTGAATGAATCAAAGATTCTGGTCCATTATTATAAAAGTGCATTTGTTTTAAATATCTAAAAATTTGGACAAGTATAGATTTGTTGGGTTTATATTGTGTAAAATGTTGGTATGAACTTCTTTATTTTGACTGCTGATACAGAATGCTCTCTGCCAATTATTATCTGTGCAGATGTTGTCCTGAAAAGCTTTTCCTCTTTTCCAGAACATCCACAGTATTAAAGCTGCATCAAACTTCATCACAACTGTTTTCACTTTCCAAAATAATCTACTGATAATATTTACATGTTCTTTGTGGCTTTTATCAGTGACAGAGGAAGAAATCAGATTCTTACGAAGTAAAACTACTAAGACTACCAGACTGCAGAAATACTCCACTACATCCTGTTACTTCTGTAGTACGTGCAGTATAATCAAGATTATATACTTTGTTTAATTTAGGAAAAAGCATCATATTAAATATTATTAATAGAAACTCTTTATGTGTTTTACATGCAAATATATTATATGCATAATAATAAAAAAGCAACTAAGCTGTCAAATATTTCCCTAAAATGAAGTGGAGCAGAACTCTGAAGTAACATGAAAAGAAAATACAACAGTAAAGTACAAATACTTTAAATTATTACAACCTTTTACTTTATTAGTGATTTTTACCCCCTCCCCCCCCCCCACAAAAAAAAGCACAGCTTTCCAAACATCCAACACAATCATTTGACTTTTATCACATTGCATGTTCTCTTCATACTGAGCTTTAGTTTCCCCACTGGACTTGAACACAACATCTCAGTATGACATTTTGGTAATAACCAAGTCTTTAGGAGGTATTTGTTGGTGTCGTTCGAAGACACGTGACGTGGTTCAGGTCAGAGGTCAGCTCTGGTCTTTGGGTTTGGAGAAGGAGCCCAGCTGTTTGGTGTTGACGTCCTTCAGCTGCTCCAGCTGCCGCTGTCCTCGCCGGTACAGATACTCGATGTGCATCACGTCCGTCTTCTTGATGCGAGCGTTCTCCCTGAACTCGTCTCGGATTCGGGGGATGAAGCCCGGTTTGTCCCGACCGGCCCGGAGGAAGTGCCGGTACAGAGCCAGGACCTGCTTCTGCAGCTTACTGTGACGAGACATCGGACGAACTCGAACTCACGAGACTAAAGTTTCTCCTTTAGGAACAGAGAGGAGTCAGAAACCAGCTGAGCAGGAGGCTAGAAAAACATGTTGACACCAGAACTGGAAAATCTTCAGCTGCAGTTCCTCTGAAAAACACTAGTTTCAGTCTGAAGAGAATGAAGTGAAGGAGAAAACCTTCACTGTCAGAGCAGATTTTATAAAACAGATTCAGCTATCAGCAGTTCACTGAGCTTCCTCTAGTGTCAAATTTATGATTTCAGACACATCCTGAATGCATCATGAGTGTAAATCTGGAGCTACAGTTGAACACAGTGGACCCTGAACACACCACAACGCTCAGCTTTGTTTTTCTTCCTGTTGATTTTTCAGGATCTGATCCTACAAACAGCCTTGTTGCCCAGAGCAGGGTGGGGTTGGGTGGATGCAGGGAGCAGGAGGAGCTCTGATTGGCTGAGAATCGGTGTGAGGTTTTCAGGTGATGATGATGCAGAGCAGACTGATACAGGGTCTGATGTTTGACTGCAGGAGAACAACAAACACACAGTTTAATGATTTGACGTCAGCAACAATAAAAACCTGAATGAACAGTGCTTCACATATATTGATTGATTGATTGATTGATTGATACATACATCTTAATGCATCGGCAATAAAATCACACACACACACTCTCCTCGCACAAGTACATGTGTTTTAGCAGGAGTACATAGATCCTGCAAACACACATGTACTTGTACAAGGAGAGTACAGGTACATGTATTTATCTATCCGGATAGATATTGTGGTAGTTGTAGTTCTAGTAGCAGCAGCAGTAGAAATACAGTTAGCCTGTTAGCTCGTGTATTAACGCAGGAAACGTAAAGTAGAAGATAAAGCTGCAATAAAAAGGTTTGTTTTTTAGAGTCTCAGCAAGCAGCTAATGTTTCAATGAACTGATGAAAACAGAAAGACAAAATGTTAACTGACATAAACCAGGACACAGAACTAAACCAGGTTAACTTACCTGTTACTGACTGGTAACGGATTTAAACCGCCTCCGCTGGTCAAACCGTTGGTGTTGGTGAAACGTCAGATCGTTAATCGATCATAAAACTCATCTATAACATAAACTGACTTTAAGTAGCTGTGTTAGCTGCTGTAAACTGCCTCTGTGTGACCTTACTACACGTTACAACACCACTGTGAAGCTGAAAGACTACAAAACACGTGACTTCCGGCAAGTGATTTCACAATAAAATCAAAAAGTACAAAGTTCACCCTTGTTCCACTTCTTAATTAAAAGTCCTTACTCAAAATCTGCTTAAGTAAAAGTACACAAGTATTATCAGCTTCATTTAGTTAAAGTATTGACATTAAATAAGAAAATAATTTAAATAACATAAATTATTATTTTATAATAATACTGTTCTACATTCATAGGACAGATTTATTAACATTATCAAAGATATTTGAATAAAAAAAATTATTAAGACTATAAAATATGCCACCCAACAACATGTACTATTAGAGATGAAAGAGACTAATTGATCAATTGAAAAAATTCAAAATTGTAAAAATTTAATAACTGAAATTAAGAAAAAAGCTTCTCAAAAGTGAGAATTCGCTGCTATACCTCATCTTCTTAAATTACAATAAACGTAATAATTTGAGGTTGAGGTTTGACTATTGGTCAGATAGAAAAAGTAATGTGAAGGTGTCCTTAAATGAGAAATAATCAGCAGATCAATCGATAATGAAAATAATAATTAGATTAATAGATCAGTTTTAGTGGAATAGAAGTATAAAATAGTACAAAATTAAAATACTCATGTAAAGTGCAAGTAGCTATATTTTTCACAACCGCCAGCACCTAATAGTTATATATATTCAATATCTTTTATTTTGAAAGCCTCGAACCGGAAGCGTAAGCACTTTTCCTGTTTCGGTTCAGGGTATCAAATGTCAACACAGAGGAGCAGCAGTCAGCTGATGAGTGAAAACATACCGCTGCTGTTCGCCACAGGAAGGTTCGTCTTTTTATTTACGTGAGTTTTTCTCTGTTTGATTAAAAACCTTTTCCAGTGGGGCGTTTGATAAAAGTGGGAAAAACGGATTTCTCGGTTTTCTGCTAACGTTAGCTGCTGTCAGAGCCCTCTGACGTCACTGATTCACTTCAGCTCACGAACCATGAACCTCAGCATGTTCAGCTCTGACTCCAGGATCTGAAACAAGTTAATAAACACAGTTAATACAGGATTTTATTTGTTTTTAATGCACTGTAGTTACACCACTTACATTGAGTGCTCTGTGTTTATTACGTAGAAATAACAAACATCGCAGGTAATCTGGTTAGAACCGTAGAAGACTGTATGGATTATACACCCAGTGAGCACTTTATTAGGAACACCTCACTAACCCTGGGTAGGTGTTAACATTACCCTTTAAGTTTGAGTCTTCTTCGTAAATAACCTTAAAATGTTCATTTAAGTATTTTAGGTTTTCTCCTTATCTTAGTCTTATACTATATTATAAATTATTATAATATATATTTATATATTATACGTTATTAATTTGTTGTTATTATAGCTTTCATTCTCAGTTTTCTTACCTGATTTGTCCTTTTCTTTTTATCTTATCAGTCATCAACACCCTTAAGTAACTCTCAGCTAAGGAGTAATGAAACCTCAGGTGTCAGACTTAAGGAGAAAACCCTCAGGTGAACAGGTGTTCCTAATAAAGTGCTCAGTGAGTGTATAACACAAACTGCTTTGAATCAAGAGTGTGTGTGTGTGTGTGTGTGTGTGTGTGTGTGTGTGTGTGTGTGTGTGAAGACATGGAGGTGACGGAGGAGGAGCGGCGGCAGGTGGAGGAGCAGGTGGAGAGACTGCTGAGCGGCCAGGGGTCAGAGGTCACCGGATGTGACGTGGGTCTGGAGCAGAGCAAACCGGCGACTCTGAGGAAGAACGTCACCTACATCGTCTGCGCCGTCATCTTCAATGATCAGGTGACTCCTCCTCCTCCTCCTCCTCCTCCTCCTCCTCCTCCTCAGCACAGAACTGTGGAGGTGGAGGTTTGTTTTTATATGGTCCAGTGACACAGGTGGGGGCACATGTTTGGTTTGCAGGGTGTTAACTGGGTGACTTTACATTTAATGTGTGTGTGTTTGATGTGTGTGTTTGATGTGTGTGTGTTTGATGTGTGTGTGTTTGATGTGCGTGTGTTTGATGTGTGCTCTTGCAGGAGGAGGTGCTGATGGTGCAGGAGGCGAAGCAGGACTGTTATAAACAGTGGTACCTTCCTGCAGGGAGGGTGGAGGTGGGGGAGAGTCTGGAGGAGGCGCTGAGGAGGGAGGTGAGACACAAACACACACACACACACACACACACACACACACACACACACACACACACACACACACACACCTGTCCAGGTCACCTGACTTGAAGCTCTGTCCATCTGCAGGTGAAGGAGGAGGCGGGGTTTGACTGTGAGCCAATTACGTTGCTGCTGATCCAGGAGCAGGGACCGCAGTGGATCCGCTTCATCTTCCTGGCAAAGGTCACAGGTCAGAGGTCACTCACCCACCCCACCCCCCGAACCTTTTAACCTTCACCTGAACAGGACGAGACGTTTAAAGTTGTGATGACGTTTTCACTTTTTTAAAATATTTTCACATATAAAACAATTAAACAGTTAATGTGTGTGTGTGTGGCTGTCTGTCTGTCTGTCTGTCTGTCTGTCTGTCTGTCTGTCTGTGTGTGTGTGTGTGTGTGTGAGAGACAGGTGGGAGTATAAAGACTGTGGCAGCAGCAGATCAGGAGTCTCTTCAGGCCTCCTGGTGGGACAGACACTCCGTCCTCCCCCTGAGAGGACGAGACATCCTCCGTCTCATCGACTGTGGACTCAGGTACGACGGCAGGTCCTGGATCCAGCTCTGTCCTGGTTTACCTGATTCTGACCCTGGCTGCTGTGCTGCTTTCAGGTACCGTCGGGATCCCTGGCATCCCGTCACGTTACCTGTGGACCTGAGCTGCCGTCACGTGGTGCAGACACTCGTCCTGGTCTTCACCAACGCTGAGGACCAGATCTGGATCCTGCTCATCAAAGGTAACGAAGCTGTTCTGACTCTTCATGGTTCACAGTGGTCGGAGGAGGGACGAGCCAAGAGCCGGAGACAGAGACAGGGAGTCTGCGTACCATGAAGGCCTCGTCCTATCTGCAGCGACGCGGGTTCGAGTCCAACCTGTGGCCCTTTGCTCTACATCATCCTCTCTCTCTCTCTCTCATGTACTCTCAGTCATGTACAGTCAGTGTGTTACCTGCAGTAGTACCTGTTAGGAGAGGCAGCAGGAGCACAGGTACACTATCAGAGTGACGTGTTGCTGTGGGCGGGGCCACGAGAAAAAACGTGTTTTAGACACTTTTAAAAACACTCACCGAAACAATCCAAAAAATTAAAAGAATATTTTCATCTTTATCTTCCCGTGAGAACGGCTCTTTCCTTTGGCACTACATCTTTCAACCGCTGAACTACCGTGTTCCTACGCGCACCTCTGAAGAGCACTGTATTACGCCGCAGCTGAGTGAATCAGAAAGCGGCGTAATACGGTGCGCAATGTATTGTGATGCCCCCCCTGTCTCCTGCAGCGCCGACCCCCCACCTCCCCACAGCAGCGGCGGTGAAGACCCACGCTGTGACCTGGGCGGCCAACATGGTGGTGCAGGAGGCCATGCCGTCGGCGTACTACGACCACGATGTCAACACGCTGGGCGTCTTCAGCCTGCAGCACAACGGCCGTCAGCACGGGAAGACGGACGGCGTGTGCTTCAACACGCTGGTGGCGCTGCTGCCCGACCGCGTCACGCGCAACGAGGACGGAGAGAAGGTGGAGTGGACGAAGACCGGACGACCTCCACCTGTGGAAAACCCTCGATACGTCTGGTTGGAGGTCCAGAAACAAACTCTGAGAGAGAAACTGCTGGAAAAGACCAAAAACACCTCGATCCTACCTCTTCACAGCCTCTACTGAGACTCTTATTGTGAAAAGAACGCACTGTTGAGCTTTTATTCTGAAAGAGAAAGAATGTCTAATTATACTTGTCTTAAGTGAAGTCGTAATATTTAAAGAAAAAGTAATAACAGTATAAGAAAAAAGTTGTAATATTACGAGAAAGAAATCAAAATAGTTAAAGAAAAAAGTTTTGATATGATGAGAAAATGTGCAGAGCAATAAAACACTAATGTATGTTTGATTTTATAAGAAATGTCAAAATAAAAATAAAAAATTGAATTCATGACGTCAGAATTTCTCCCCCTTTGTTGTCGTCATAGTGACGTTACTAAGTTTATCACCTGAGACCAAAACCACAAAACTGTTGTTATGAGTTTAAATGTTTTATGCAGTTACTGAACGCCTCACCTCAGAAATCTACAGAACCACATCTCAAACACAAAGTCACTTTATTCTCTTCAAACAGGAGGAAGAATCTTCATCCCTGTTCACCTCATGTCTGGTCAGCTGTCTTCTTCATCTTCCTGATGTAGTTGTCGTTGAGGCTCTTCAGGTGTTTGGTTCGGTTCTCCAGTCGGACCAGCCACTCCCCCCTCAGCCTGAAAACACAGGAAGGTTTTTGTTTTTAGTTCATGTCCAAAGGTTTCAGATTACAGTGGACACTCCTCCTCCTCCTCCTCCTCCTCCTCCTCCTCCTCCTGAGGAAACAAAGAGGAAAGTGAATCAAAGTGACATTAGTGTCATCACTGAGGTCGTCAGGGTGGATGTTAGATCACAGGTATGTTCAGGTAACGCTCACTGCAGTTTTTATGTGATCAGAGACAAACACTTTCTGCAAAAGAAAAAATTCACTTGCATCAGGGAAACTGATTTACTCTCTCTCTATATCTACATACTGTATATATCTACCTATATATATGTATATAGATAGATATATATGTATTTGCATCACATTGAGAGGAAAAAGACAGTTTCGAGAATAAAGTCATATAATGAGAAAAAAGTTGTAATATGAGAATTAAAAATTTCAAGAGATGATGATGATGATGATGATGATGGTGATGATGATGATGATGGTGATGATGATGATGGTGATGATGATGACGATGATGACGATGATGATGACGATGATGATGATGATGACGATGACGACGATGATGATGATGATGATGACGATGATGATGATGATGACGATGACGACGATGACGATGATGATGATGACGATGATGATGATGAGCCAGAAGATGAAGTATCTCCTTATTTGAAACCTCTGCTAAAGTGGAACTTCACAGGATGATATTTCCCTCTAAAACAACAGGAACCTAAAATTACGACTTTATTTTCATCATTTCAGACTTTTTCCTCAACGAGGCCGTAACAGTGGAAAACAACAGAGCGCTGCTGCTCTGTGGAGGCTGCACACTGACAATACACGTGTTGAACTGAAAGATCTGATCATGATAAAAGGGACACTACAACTTTCCTCGTCACACCTGTCACACCTGTCACACCTGTCCACATCACACCTGTCACACCTGTCACACCTGTCCACATCACACCTGTCAGTTTCCTTTCAGTTGAAGATGTTGCTGTCTGATCTCTGCTTCAGATCCTCTGTGTGTTGCTGTGGAGTCGTCTGTCTGTTCTGATCCACAGTGTCTGTAGTGATGTAATATGATGTAATATGATGTAATATGATGTTGGCTGACCTGGAGTCAGCAGCAGATCTGGTATCTTGGTGACAGCTGAAGTGTTATCATCAGCATTTCCTCCACTCCTCCTTCAGTCAAACACACACCAACCTCCCTGAGAGTGTGTGTGTGTGTGTGTGTGTGTGTGTGTGTGTTTGTCTGCAACAGATGGAAAATGCAAATGTACAAAAGTGAGACAAAACAAAGAAAGTACAGACACACCCTCACTACATGAGTAAATGTGTGTGTGTGTGTGTGTGTGTGTGTGTGTGTGTGTGTGTGTGTGTGTGTGTGTGTGTGTGTGTGCGTGTGTAACCTAACCCTCACTGTCAGCTGTCCTCACTGTCTCTTCGCCACCTTCCTGTCGAGTTTTCTGGATTATTCCATTTGTTCTTTCAGCTGCTGATAATCCTCCTGACCTCAGACAGACAGAGAGAGAGGCAGACGGATGGACGGACGGATGGACAGACAGGCAGACAGGTAGATAGACAGACAGACGGACAGGCAGACAGGTGGACAGCTGGACAGGCAGACAGGTAGACAGGCATACAGGTGGACAGGCAGACAGGTGGACAGCTGGACAGGCAGACAGGTGGACAGGCAGACAGGCAGACAGGCAGACAGGTGGACAGGCAGACAGGCAGACAGGCAGACAGGTGGACAGGCAGACAGGTGTGCACACCAATAAAGACTCAACTACACGTCTAATTGTTATGATGCTGTTTTGGTGTCAGGTCCAGGTTAATGATCCAGTGTATAAACAATCAGAGTCACTGTGAGCAGGTGAGCTGCATCACCTGATGACCCCTCCCTGTCTCACGTCCCACGATGAACGGTTTGAGGGACGATCATTTTCCTCATGATCGATTAATCTGCGGATTGTTTTCCCCATTAATCGATTGCTTGTTTTATCCATAAAAAGTCAGAAATGGGTGAAAACAGCTCATTACAACTCCCCACAGTCCGAGGAGGAGGAGGCGCGTTCAAATGGTTTTTATCTGAAACCTTAAAATATTCTGTTTATTATGATTAACCGTCAAGTCAATTGTATTTATATGGCCCAAAATTCCAAATCAAATAACTTTCCTCAAAGGCTAATAAAAATAAAATGTAAATGCAGAGAAAATAATAAATAAAACATCAGAAGAGATAATAAAACTTTGCATCATAAAAATGTAAAATGATCAAATGTAATGTGGTTTAATTTCAGTTTTCTTTGACACGTCGACTGAAGAGGTCATGAAGTGAATATCTAGATAAGAATATCTTCTAATTTCAGCCTGTCTGTATTTTGTGTCTGCGTGTCAGCCGCCTCCATCAGTCATCACTCTGTGATTATCACCTCCGCTCTCTGCAGCACGTTGTTCCAGCCTCTGGCCCGCTCACACATAACGGACACAATTAGCGAGGACTAGAGCTGGGGTTAGAGGCGACGGGGAGGGGGTGGGTAGTTGTGGTGTTGGGGGGTACGGGGTAATAGATAGCCGGGGGATTAGGAGATACATGGTATTGATAGGTGGGGGATTAGGGGTACAGGGTAATGGATAGCAGGGGGATTAGGTGTGATGGGTTGGAGAGGTGGTGTGAGGTTAAAGCAGCACGCTGAGGTTAGCAGGGATAAGGCTAATAGCTGCAGACTGAGGTTAGCAGGGATAAGGCTAATAGCTGCAGACTGAGGTTAGCAGGGATAGGGCTAATAGCTGCAGACTGAGGTTAGCAGGGATAAGGCTAATAGCTGCAGACTGAGGTTAGCAGGGATAGGGCTAATAGCTGCAGACTGAGGTTAGCAGGGATAGGGCTAATAGCTGCAGACTGAGGTTAGCAGGGATAGGGCTAATAGCTGATGTCAGAAGGGAGGGTTCAATAGGAGGATATTTACCATACACCTGATAATCCCATTATAATATATGACAGAGCTGACCACATCACAGTACTGCAGCAGGTTCCAGACTGAACCACAACACACAGTTTGGAATCATAATAAGAAATATTGTGTCATAAACAAGTTTAATTGAAAATTATAGACTATAATTTATCCTGTAAACCAGTTACTTTCAAAAATCAGAGACGACATCGAGGGAAAATCTGTATTTTGCAATTGCAAAACTGAGTATATTGGTCATTTATTTTACGAATGTCTTTCTACTAAATTGTTTTGGTTGAATATAGAAAATTTCTTTAAGCCTGTGACTGATTCGTTTAGAAAAACAGAGACTTTGCTTTATTTATAAGAAAAATATTGATTGTAAAAAACAAAAAAACTGAATCTTTTTATTTTGTACAGAAAATATTACAGCCACCAACGTAAATGGGCTAAAAAGAAACCACAAAATAATAATTGGACACTTTATTAATTCATTACATGGACTAAAGAACAATAAAGCCATAAAACAATAGAAACTTGTAAATCCTCAGCTATTTTGCTTAAATATCTTTGTTTTGCTTCACGGTACCTCTGTGTTTATAGTTTGGTTTTGTCCATTTGAAATACTTATTTTTGTTTCATTATCCTTCTGTATATGTTGCATTTATTTCCTTTTATTGTATTTTTTTATTTGTATGTATTGATCATATTTTACTATGTATTTTATTTCAGAAATTAATGATTGTTTAGCAGCAGTGTTGGTCACTCTTGACTAGAAGATTAGGTTTTATGTTGCTTTCGTATAAACCAGGTCTAGGCTAGGACCTGAACACATGGGCGCTGGGTTTACTACCCAGAATGCCTTTTTCCTTTGCAACCTGTTCACAAGAGGACGAGGTGGCCGAGTGGTTAAGGCGATGGACTGCTAATCCATTGTGCTCTGCACGCGTGGGTTCGAATCCCATCCTCGTCGGGATGAAGTTTACTTTAGTCTTCCATGTCAACAAGATCAGTTTCTATCCCTAACGCTCTTTCCTCATTGATACTGTCACATGAACTTGGAGAAAAGCTGGGAAAACCAATGATGTGCAGATGTTCACAGGGGAATTAGCTCAAATGGTAGAGCGCTCGCTTAGCATGCGAGAGGTAGTGGGATCGATGCCCACATTCTCCAGTACACTTCTATTCTTGAAGACGAGGCTTCAGGCAGTGAGTCTTTATGCAGCAGCCTGATGGACAAAATCAGTGAGTGTTTTAACTCAGGTGAGACAATGAAATACCATCCTCGACGTCCAGCTTGAGTTAAAGATCAATGGGTTTGAAGGTCGTCAGACACGTAAACACTCCTCAGAGGTTTATGATACTCCGAGACAAAATTGTACAACTCTGGAAATTTATTGTTGCTGCAATTATTCCTATTTCCTATGAAGATGGCAAGTTAAACAGTATAAAAATGCTGTTCACAAATTAAGCCATTAATTTAAAAGCTTATTTAAGATTACAGTCTGTTTTTAAGGGTTGAGAAAGGGTCATTGTTCTCAATGCTTGGCCGACAGTGTCAAACACAACTAGTCTGACATCAAGCTCAAAGAGAAGGAGGAGGCAGGAGCAGTGAACAACTACAACAACACGTTGAAAGCACGGCTGCAGCAAAAAGGTCCGCCGCCACTTGTGGAAAAGAAAACACTCGCATAAATGGAAAGATTCTTCCAAAACTTCCATTTCTGTTCATTCACTTTTCCAGATTTTCCAGGTGTAAGGGCCAAATGTAGCTCCTGTATGTTCCTGTACCTACGAGAAAACCTCCTGAGACGCACACCTGCTTTTTCCTTTACACTGGCCCGACAGGAGGACGAGGTGGCCGAGTGGTTAAGGCGATGGACTGCTAATCCATTGTGCTCTGCACGCGTGGGTTCGAATCCCATCCTCGTCGGGACAGAATTTTCTTTAGTGTTCCATGTTTCCATGCCAACAAGTTAACCGGTTCCATTATAACAACTCTCTGTAAGACTCTGAAAGCAGGTCACAGGGGAATTAGCTGAAATGGTAGAGTGGGAGGTAGTGAGACGTAGTGGGATGGACATAATAAGTGAGTGTTTTAACTCAGGACATTGGGTCAAACACTGTGAGGTCCCATGGGACAACATGTCAATGAGGAACAGAGAAACTGATAAAGAGAGTTGCTTTAATATAGCTGTTGTCAACATGGAAAAATGGCAGACTAAAGCAACCGCCATTCCAATGAGGAACCAACACATGCAGAGCACAATGGATTCATTTCGAGTCACTTGATTCTAATGGGTTTTTACTTTGGGTTAATTCTTCTTAAGTATAATATGATCATTTTACCCTGAACTGACAGAACAAGCTCAAATTCTGCCTTAAAAACTCAAAAGATTGATTGTTAGTTGTATAGTATGATTACGTTTTCACACGTACACATTCAAAACTGGAAAGCAATCCCCTGAAACATCTTTTCTTTTCTATCGATGGTCATTCATTTTTGTCAGTGGCTGAGCGAGGTGAGTTCAGGTTACAGTGAGGCGGATGGTTCCACTCATTAGTGATCATCATTACTGAGACCTTTAACAACCAGACTGTCGGAGAGGGTCGAGAGTGAGTGTTTGTCCTGGTATGTCCTCCAGCTCGCTGAGAGACGAGGCTGTTTGTAATGAGAGGATCTGTTTATAGATGTGTCTATTTGCCAGACAGTGACATGTCTACCACAAATGAAACCACATTCATTTTCAGTTTGGTCACAGACAACACATTCAAAGACCTCGATAGATCTGTGTCTTCAGGAAAAGAGATACTTTGGCCAGGATTGGCGGTCTCCCTCTGGATCAGGGCCCTGGTAAGTGAGCTTGAAGGTGACCGCCTGCAAGCTCACCTTCGCTTTTATCGGAAACATTGGAAGGCAAAAGTGTCCATAGCTAATCCGAACTGGAAAACTGAAGAAGTGGATGAAAAGCCAACCGTCATAGAGAAACATTAGATGTGGTAATAAATATATATATATATATAATATATTAATAATAATAATAAAAAATATATATATAATGGAGCATATTTTTAAATAGTTGGACACACCTTCCTGAATTCTGAGCGTTTCAGATGCTGTTCAACCAATTGACAAGCAACTTTGATGGAGTATACTGTCACTACCCACAGGGCCCAGTCTGGCTCAGCCCAAACACATGGGGTCACTGGTGCTGAGTATGGGGAGGTCATGAAAGGAGACTTCTGGTTGGCCTTAAAAAGGTTCTGCAAGACAACTCAGGAAGGGACTTGACTAATGCGGCAGGGCTACCAAACCAACAGACTTCAAATAGGTCGTTGGGAACGTTGAACCGGAGTGAACTTTTACTGTAATGGAACACAACATTATCTGACAAGAACAATCAAATACATGCAAACATGCATTCCTGTTAGATTACTGCAACGTGTGCCCCCCCCCCCCCACCCCCCCCCCCCCCAACACAGTCCCTTGCATTTTTGAACACAGCGTTGTCTTCAGTCGCAACGTCCACAGACTCATATCTTTGGTAGATTTTATTACACCGTCTTGGTTGACGTGGCTGTGGACTGGCAGATGGGTGTGGTGGTATAACAGTGCTTAGTCTCCCCAGGAAAGTTTTTTCAAGGGTGCTTAAAATCACACTCCAGATCTAAGAGGAACAAATGGACCAGGATTCAGCAGGGATCATGGGAGTTTTCCTCACCAGTCGGAATGTGTTTCCTAGCCTTGGGTAAGACCTATGTCCTTCGGGGCGTATTGCATGAACAGGAAGTGCAGGGAGCCGTTCAGCCAGGTTTGTGCTTTGCTTCTGTTGGGATTTTTTTGACAGAATCTTTGGGGACATTAGAAGTGGAGGGTGTGCGAATTAACGCAAGAAGCTTCTTTGCAGATGATGTGGTTCTGTTTGCTTCATTAGACCATGACCTCCGGCACATATTGGGGCAGTTTGCAGCAAGGAACGAAGCAGTTGGGTGGAAAGTCAGCATTTCCATGTCTGAGACCGTGGTACTCTGTTGGAACGCCATGAATTGTCGCCTTGGGGTTGGCGGCAAGTTGCTGACTCAAGCTCGGCATCTGAGGGCCTTATTCCTTACTGAGGGTGATAGGGGGCAGGCAGATCGACTGTGTTGTCTTAGTTTAAATGAATCTGAGCCTGAAGGAGAAGTTTTGGATTTAAATGTCAATGAATGTTCAAATCGTCGGTGGAGTGATCTAAACGATGAGAATGAATCATGAACTGATTCTACCTGCAAGTTTTCCACCTTGAATGATACACATTTTGTTATTTGTTTCACACTAGTACTGGGCAGATTGATGCCCAAGGTATCTATATTACTGACAGTGATTTGTTCTGAGTATCAAAACCAAAAAATAGAATGGAAAAGGTAGTTTTCTTTTATTTTCTCCCATAAGTCAGAACAGGATGTGTAGACTAATAGTTAGAGGCGGACTTTCTGCTGTGTAACTTTGAGTGTTGCTGTGTGTTGTGTTGTTACTGACTTTTTGAGTGCACTCTTGTTCATCCTCTGCTCCTCGCTGTCAGCATTCTGACACTGAGTGTTAATCCTCTTCTCCCAGAACGTCTTAATGTGCAGTCTGTCGTGGATCAGAGCCACATTCATCTGCAACAACACAATACACCCAGAGTGACACTTCTACTGTTGAACAGACTGATTCTACCACCACTGATACTTTAATTATAAGAGACTGTGCTCCCATAAAGACAGACCCCACAGGTCGCCCTGTCAGACTGTTTATTTACAACAAAACTGAAACAACAAGCAAATATGTTTTGTCGGAAATGTAATCACTGGATTACTTTAAAATGCATCATAATTTTTGAATAAATGAAGCCTTACATCTATTAGCGGTAGTGGTTGGGATTGTGGGTATGTGTAATGTAAATAAATGGGTTATATCTGAATTCACAGTGAACTGTGTTAAACCAGGATCTTTCCCCAACCTTTACTGAGTGTTGTGAGATTCAGTTCATTTCCACCGACGGCTTTTCTATTATCATTATAAAAAAAACAACCTTTTTTCCTGTTAGTGTCACGATAATGATCTGCACTTTACAAAACAGGTTCACGCCATTTTACAGGTAGTTAACTGGTCACTAACGATGTTCACAGCGACGAATCAGGTGTGAAACATTATCAATCTACACTGAAACTACAAAGGCAGAGAGAATAATCATCCTTTCTATCATCTAAAAAAAATCATGTATAGAAGCCAAACAAGGCCTAAAAACTAAAACAAAAAATCAAGTTTATTTATTATTTACAGTCCACAGCCTGAAGGAATCAGGCCTCTCTGTGTTTGTCTTTGTTTTCTATCTGTCCCAGTCCTATTATATTATATATATTGAAATCAATATAATACAGTGTGTGATTTAAAGGTAGTTTAACCATGAAATCACATAAAATGCTATCGGGTCAGAAAATGAGAGCTTAGCTGGTGAGATCCAGATTTAGCTGCAGCTCTCTCATGGCTAGTTTTCAGCTGATACGTCCCTCTGACTTTATCTGTAAATAGCTTCTTTCTGTGGCGGAGAGCGCAGCGACGAGTCCTGCAGTGCAGCACGACTACACAGAGAAACTGTCACTGCCTTTTTGTTTCCGAAGTAACGACAAATTTAAAAAGCAGTTTTTACAGAAAGTCCACATTAATATGGAGCTATGTTTTTATATAGAAAACAGACGTCATAAGGTCAGATACAGGTTATAACTCAGATTTTACCCAATATATAGTTTCTGTGTTTTGCCTTTGTAGAGACGTATAAATCAACATTTATCCACAGTGTTTCATGTAGTGAATATTAAGATTAACTGTACTGAAAATAACTCCACACAGCTGCAGAAAATAAATGACATTAAACAGTGAAATGCAGTTGAATTATTTTAGATAAAGTAGAAAACAAACCTTGATTCAGACCTTCAGCTGAACGTCCGTCAGCCTCAGTGGATGAACCTATGACTCTCTCTCTCTCTCTCTCTCTCTCTCTCTGTGTCACTTCCCCTCCCTCCTCTGCAGAAATGAATGTTTTACATGTGAACCCTGGTCAGTAAATCAATCATTAAATCTGCCCCCCCCCACCTCTGTCCTCCAGGGACACACAGTGGGTGAGAGACATGGATGGACAGAGAGAGAGGGAGAGAGATGGAGAGAGAATGAAATGAAAGACAGGGAGGATGGAGGGAGAGCTCGGAGGTGTGAATGAACTTATTTATAGATGCAGTTTTTTATTGCCTGACTTGGTTCAAGTCTACACTGTGATTGGCCAGTGAAGCTCTGAAGTCGTTTTACTATTTTTAAGTTTGAGAAATGTTCTTTAAAGGGAGAGATTTCACACAGCTGATGGTTTAGTGTTGCTCTGATCAACAGTTGGAAAGTGGCGAAGCGTTCAGAATCCTGTTTACAAGAAAAGAAAAGAAAAGATGAAGGTGACCAGCAGTCGTTTTACACCTCACTGTGCGTTTCCAGGTGTTTCCAGGTGTTTCCAGGTGTTTCCAGGTGTTTCCAGGTGCTTGGTGGGGTCATGTATGATCAAGTGTTTTCCAACATTAGATCATAAATTACATTTTATATTGGTAATGAAATGTCAAGCTAACACTGGAAATGAAAGACTAAAAACGAACTACATTAGTTAAACTGGTAAAGGTAGATACTAGCTAGCTAAAAAGTAACTTAAGACAAAGGTTAGAAACTAGCTAACATTAGTGTTTATCTGTAGATGCTTCACTTCATACATCCACTTTAATGGTGTCTGAAATCATATCACAAGAGTCTTCCAGGTAGGATTAAGGGAAATATAACATTTACAATTACAGATAGGAGGGAAATATAAATGCTTCAAACCTCCTCCTGTGGTTTTAGTACTTTTACTCCTTCGAACCCGAAGGAGTAAGAGTACTAAAACCACAGTGTAGATATACTCCATTAAAGTACAAATCTGCATTTAAAATGTTACTTAAATGAACGTATGTAAGTATAGTCAGGAAAATGTACTTGAAGTGTGAAAAATAAAGGTACTGAGTGCAGAGGAATGGCTCCTGTGTCGGTCTCAGTGCCTCAGTGTTGAGCTTAAATAAAGTACTTGAGTAAATGTACTCAGTTACTTTGCATTACTGTTGAAAGTGAGAAGATCTGGGGATGTTGAGTTAGGAAGAGGTGATGTTAGCAGACGTGTGCTACATTAGCTGCTGCTAACATCACACGCCTTAATCTGAGAAAGCTCGTTAAACTTTAGAGAAACCACAGAGCGAGCTGAAGATTCCCACTGACTGCAGAGCTCTCGTCGCCTCCGTCAACCTCTCAACGCGTTTTCAAACAGCAACTGCAACACACACACATTTTTACATCACTGCTAAATCAGTTTCCACTCTGATTTCAAGTCCATTTAGTAGCTGTTCTGGAGCTTTCGACCATTTCAAAATCTCGACCTGCAGTTGATGAAAACGCAGATGTTGTTATTTATTTCTTCTTTCTCTGTATTTTACTGATGTTGATGAAAGGTAACAAACAACATCAATGTTTCCGTGACGACTGAGCAAACTCCATTATGTCATGTGAATGAAAAAAGCTCAGGCCACAAGTGATGAGGTGTCAATCATCGACATACACACACACACACACACACACACACACACACACACACACACACACACACACACACACACACGCTGTCAGCGCTCTGTCTGCTCCCTGACAGCTGTCACATCCTGTGTCATTAAAGATAGATAACACACACACGTTTATTCTTTGTGTGTGTGTGTGTGTGTGTGTGTGTGTGTGTGTGTGTGTGCGTGTGTATGTGTGTGTGTGTGCGTGCGTGTGCGTGTGTGTGTTCGTGTGTGCGTGTGTGTGTGTGTGTTCGTGTGCGTGTGTGCGTGTGTGCGTGTGTGTGTGTGTGTGTGTGTTTGTGTGCGTGTGTGCGTGTGTGTGTGTGTGTGTGTGTTGGAACATTTACTCAATACTGTGCAGGAAAACTGACACAAGCAAATGATCTGTGTTGATAATGATGTCATGCACAGATCACAACTATATCAGTGTGTGTGTGTGTGTGTGTGTGTGTGTGTGCTGTAGACATATCCTGTAGAAGGAATCCATGAAGGCATGCTGTGTGTGTAGAAACAGAAAGTGATCTGCTTTTACAAAGATGTCAGGACACATTTTATGGTGTGTGTGTGTGTGTGTGTGTGTGTGTGTGTGTGTGTGTGTGCTGCAGTCGGACAGTTGGGTGATAACATGTTTGACATTTCAACCCTCTCGGGGCGTGATGTGATGCTGTCCCAGGGTGTTAAACACACACACACACTGTACTAATATAAACAGTCTGTTATAATTCCAACATACCAGCGTCACATGGCAGCTGCTGCCGCTGCTGCAGCTCCTGCCGCTGCTGCTGCAGCAGCTGCCGCTGCTGCTGCCGCTGCCGCTGCCGCTGCTGCGAGACTCTGACACCTTTCACACTGAGCAGACAGTCAGCTCAGACTCACGACCCTGACCTGCAGACGAGGGAAGAAACATCTACTGAAATATGAAATATCTCGAAACAAAAACATCAGTGTGTGTTGTTTGGTCACGATATGTCTCGTGTCAACAGTCATCCTTAACCGTGTGGATCCTCATCTATTATATACTTTGTACAGCAGAGGGCGCAATCACCTTCATAATACACGACAGTCTCCTGGGTCCTGCACGCTTTAGTGACGGCAGCAGCTGGAGACGACGCCTCAATACAGAGATAGAAAATGTTCCACCTGCTCAGAAGTTACAGCCGAGGAAATGAAGCTAACAGGCTCAGGAACATGTGACCGGAACAAAACAAAGACATCACTTCATGACATCACACTCTGATATCACTTCCTGACATCACTTCATGACATCACTTCCTGACATCACACTCTGATATCACTTCCTGACATCACTTCATGACATCACACTCTGATATCACTTCATGACATCACTTCCTGACATCACACTCTGACATTACTTCCTGACATCACACTCTGATATCACTTCCTGACATCACTTCATGACATCACTTCCTGACATCACACTCTGACATCACTTCATGACATCACACTCTGATATCACTTCATGACATCACTTCCTGACATCACACTCTGACATTACTTCCTGACATCACTTCCTGACATCACTCTCTGAC